GTTCCTGTCACGCTAGTGACTCCATATGAAATCATTGTAAATTATATTTTAAATAACATTTGTGGTGCTTTTACTAAATGGAATAAAACTATCGGGCCCTTTGTTTTTCAATTATGTTGCTACCACTTTAAAATAGGAATGGCCCAATTTTAAGAAACAATGGCTTAAAAAAGACGCACAATTTTCATGTAAGCTTCGATAAAGTGAAGTAATAATTTGCCCGCATCTTTACTCGTTGCTGTATCATTCTCATCCTTTATTTACCATGAAATAGCAACTAAAGCGAATTGACATCTGCACGAATAGTCACTCCCTACGTGAAACACCTAAATATATTTTACCTGGATCTCTTGAACGAGGAAGTGGTTATAAGTGTAATGAAAAAGAAAGCGATCTTCCTCACCACCACGGCAGCCTGCGTATTAACGCTGTTGGCGCTGCTCTATTTTACAGGTAACTATTATCTTTAACTCTTAATTTTTGTAAAATATTACAAAATTTTAATTTATAAAAACAACCATCCTTGCAACATAAATAGGGCTGATTCGTGGAATTATAAAAGTTCTAGAATACAGAAAAATTAGAAATACATGTGTTTGAAAAGTGTTTGTTTTTAGCAATAATCAAATTATTAAACATCAAACTTAATGAAGTTAAACGCAAATGTTTTGACAAAACTTTTTACAGTAAATTAGTCCATCCTATCAGGCAAATGACGATTGAATGCCTAGTTATTTTAGCTATATTTCTTGAACAAGTGCAATTCGTAACAGTCGATGCATGTAAATGTAGCACCGATCATATTCCATTATAGTTTTCATCAGCATTGTAAGGTATTGATATTGATTTCATAGTGGCATTTATAAAGACACTAAGATGACAAAGCTTTTATGGGTACGAATCTTACAGGAATTTACAAACCCATTTCAATTCATCGAGAACAGGAAGTAATATATGGCAGTGGCACTTCTCTCCGAACCAGTAACAATTTGCCCCAAAAAAGTGAAGAATACGACTCCATAGATAAACGGATCTGGGAGGTATTTACATGTAGTTTAACGTTTATTAGACAGTAAGGGTTTACCTTAATATAGTATTGAATTAGAACTACTGTAGAAACTAGAGGTAAACCCCACAAGACCTTTATATTTTTTTCATATTATTTATATACTGCTTTCCAGTGTTCCCTTCTATCCATTTCTCTCTGTGTATTCCATTCTATCTGCATTCTATCTGCGTTTACGTTAAACTTGGCTGTTATTGAAGAATCGCACATTATGACAGCATGTCAACCAATTGGACAGAACACTCCCCGCTCTTTACTCACTTTAATTACCAACATTACATTGGAATAAATTTAGTCGTTATTCATCGATACATTTAAACAGACAGACAGACAGACATATAAACAGGCTGCCAGTTAGTACGTGAAGTTGCATTATCATATTGAAACTAATGGTTGATCATGGCCCCTAAGAATCCCTTAAGAACCGTATCAATCCCCAGTTGTTGGCTGGTGTTCATGCATTCCAGAGTTCCAGTATACCATCTGACTCGACGTAGATGGTTTCTGGCAGTGATCACTGGTTTCCTAACGGAAATCCTGCCAAAATAACGTCGACTGTGCAGACGTCTTCTGACGGCAAACTCAGAAACACGGTGTGCCCTGTTCTTGTGGATGTTGCAGTCAAGTTCCAAAATGTCGTTTTCTAAGAGGAAGGCGTATTGAGATTCTCTTTTCTCTCGGTGTGGTTTCCCTCGGTCGCCCTTACCCAGACAATCTTGCCCATGTGTCTGTATGTACATGTTGTTGTCCATCCCTCTCAATGGTTCTCATCCGATCCCTCTCAACCCAACCTTCTGGGGAGTTAAGACTTACCTGTGCTCCTCCCCTAAGGAATTTTATTCCTAAGACCTTGAAAAACGTAGCTCTTTGAAATGGTTTGGATATGGTTTATTTTACCCTCGAGGGGAAATGGTTGGAATTGCTAGGCAAATTACAATTTTGACTTGTAAAGGTTCATTACTCACAACTTTTTTGCTGACATAACTTTTGTTGACCACATCTTTTTATTGACCTTATCTTTTTTGTTAACCTTATTCTTTTATTGGCGTTATCTTCTGCACAAAACGGTTTAAAAGCTCTGAGAACTTTTTGAAACACATCTTTCAGTCGTTCGGTTGGGACAAGGTACCTCATAATTGGGTGTCTTCCATGATCAGGCGAAAACAAAGGTTACAAGACAGATGCAGCACCCGCAAAACTACTCCGATCAAAGATTTGAAGAAATCAAAATGGATTATAGTGGATGACAAACATAAACTAATTTTGTGCACTATGTTGAAAGCTGCAAGTCGTAATTGGAGAAATGTGTATCAAATTCTTTCCGGCCGTCAGGATCCTTCAACTGTTGTCTTCAAGGCCGGAAAAGAATACTATACACAGTTATATTCTAATGACTACAAGAACAACAGCATGCGCTTAGCAAGTTATCTGAAGGTCTTAGTGGTGCGACACCCACTAGAGAGACTCGTGTCGGTGTACAAGGAACAGGTTTTGTTTCGGTTTTTAGGTCCTAGCGTGAAAACTTATATGAACCAGCAATATGAGAGGAACATTACTTTGCAAAAACATATTTCCTTTTCGGATTTCCTCCAGTATATAGCAGACAATGGACCAAACAATAGCCACTGGGCTTTGGTCGAGGATTTCTGCAAACCCTGTGACGTCCAGTATGACGTCATCGTTCATCATGAAGATCTTACCACCGACGCGCCTAATGTCATGCGTCTACTTGGTGCCGAACACTTGATAGCACAATTCCCGTCATCTCATCGCGCGATCGAGTCCTACCGCAACGAGACTCTCATACAAAAATATTACAGCGGGATAGATAGAGAACTGCTGAAAAAGGTCTGGGATATTTACAAAGAAGAGGCAAGCTTCCTCGGATATAAATTAGATCTTTGAATGTATGTCGTAATACGGCACACACATACTGAATTTACATTAGAATCATAATCGAACGGCAACAATATTGCAAAAAAAGTAAATGCGGGTGGTATCAGAATTTAAAATTAAAAACGGGCTACGATGTATTTGTATATTGAACCAAGCAATAAAAATTTGGTAAACTCAGCTAGATGTAGGACATTAAACATTCCGTGACGCTTTGGCATAAAAATGCAATGTATTATATAATTGATTTTGTTTGCTTAAACCGCCCTACTTTCAAAATCTTATTTTACAAATGTGCCAAAAGTTAGGTGTCCTTGAGTGATGTCCTGCATGTTTATAACTAATGCCTAGATTACATTTACACGGGCGCCGTGCTATGCAATTGAGCTACGGGCTACGCCGAGTATGTCTACATTACATAGCCTTATATCAGTACGATTCTGTGCGATCTCGCACGGCCACCGTCTATTTCCGCTCAGACGCCGTACGAAAACGGTATTACGCATTTCAAATGTAATCAAGGCTTAAGCGACTAAATAGACGATCGTGAATGCCAAACCTATGAAAATGCATCTATTCTGTCCTTACTTATTAGGTAAAGTAAATAAAAAGAGTGTTAATATGGCCGAATTTCATAATTTAAAGTAAGGAGTGACCGTTGGTTCCATTGTGTGGGAGCTTATATTCGGGAGGAAGACGCAAGTAGCAGGCTAAGGAAAGACAAAACTGTTTAGTTTGATAATAACGAGTGGCTATTCTTTGTAAACAGGGTAGGCAGACGAAATCCATTCATTTTGTTCAAATATGAAATTTAACTAGCAGAGCAGACAAACTTTCAATTTTAAATTTTGGGGGTGCTAGTCAAAAGTCTGGGACATTTTAAAGGCTTAAAACAACTTCATTAAGGTTTACCTAGGTTCGATTGTAATTTCTTCCACTTCCCAATAACCAAAAAAAAAAAAAAAAAAAAAAAAAAAAAAAAAATGTAACGAAACGGAGGGTACGAGTGAAAGAAAATTTAGTTATTTTGGTTAGGGTTAGCCCGACCTAAGTGGATCAAAATCTAGGTGGAGGCTTACCCATACATAAGTGGACTATCTACCACGGGGGACTCTCTGACCTCTTATACCGGCGTCACAATAGCCAGTTCGTTACACTAAGATGGGAGGGGGGGGGAGCGATTTCATAAGATGGTAAAATTCGTCTTCTTTGTGCCCCGAATTCCTCGGCATTTGGTTACAAGCTCAAATGTAAAATGCATCCCCAGAATCCGTGCACCAATTAAGATGAGCTCAAAATTGCACAGGCATTGTGAGGGCATATTGTAGGGTTGTGTGGAATTGCGCTTATCTTTTAAGGTCAAGGCCAGGGTTGAGTTTTTCCATATTCCACTTCCGCTTTACAGCACTGGCTATTAGTTTTAGTTACCACGTCTCCATGGAAACCAAGCAAAACTGGCAAAACTGAAACACCAAAACCAAAAATAGAGACACTGCATGAACCCGATAAATGAGACACAAAACCAGAAAATGATACAAAAATATGAAAACTGCAAACGTTTTTTATTTTTATTTTTATTTTATTAGTATTTATTTATTTATTTATTTATTTATTTATTTATTTATTTTTTGAGGACGTACAATTGGTAACTTGCATACCAGTTTGATGTGTTCCTATCACGCTTAAGACTCGATCTGTTCAGTGGGAGAAACAATCAATCAGTCTTTTCTCAAGTACATAAATATGGAATCATTGTAAATTATATTTTACACAGCATTTGCGGTGCTTTCACAAAATGGGATAAAACTATTGCGCGCTTTGCAATTCAATTTTGCTGCTACCACTCAATAGAAATGGCCTAATTTTAAGAAACAATGGCTTAAAAAATATGAACAATGTTCATGTCAGCTGCAATGAAGTGATGTAATAATTTGCCCGCATCTTTACTCGTTGCTGTATCATTCTCATCCTTTATTTACCATAACATAGTAGCTTAAAAGAATCCACAACTGCACGAGTAGTCACTCCTTGTGTGAAACACCTAAACATTTATTACTTAGAAGATCTCTGAGAACGAGGAAGTGTTTATAAGTGTAATGAAAAAGAAAGCGATCTTCCTCACTACCACGACAGCCTGCGTATTTACGCTGTTGGTGCTGCTCTATTTTACAGGTAACTATTGTCTTTAACTCTTATTTTTTGGTAAAAAATTACAAAATTAAAATTTATAAAAACAACCATCTTTGCGACATAAATAGGGCTTGTTCATGGAATTATAAAAATTCTAGAATACACAAATATAAGCAATGCATGTGTTTGAAAAGTGTTGGTTTTCAGCAATAATTATAAGTTATTAAACATCAAATTTCACGAAGTTAAACGTAAATGTTTGACAACTTTTCACCATAAACTAGGCCATCTTATCAGGCAATCAATGATTGTATTCCTAGTAAAAATAGCTCGAGTCTTTTCTTTTGAGTGACTCGTAAAAGTCGATGCATGTAGCAACGACCGTATTCCCTTATACTTTTCATCAGCATTTAAAGACATTGACGGAAGATTTTTGACGAAAATTGAGTTCATAGTGGCATTTATAAAGACATTAGGACGACAAAGCTTTTATGAGATACATGTACATATCTTGCAGGAATTTACAAACCCATGTCAATTGTTCAAGAAAAGGGAGTAATTAATGGCAATTCTCTTCGAACCACTGACAACTTTCCCAAACTCAGTAAAGAACACGACGCCATAGATAAACGGATCTGGGAGGTATTTAGTGTAACGTTTTTTTTTTTTTTACTATGGTACTGACTTACAATTACTGTATTTCTTACACTAGGTAGAAATCACAAGACCTTTATGTTCTTTCATATTATTTGTTTATTGATTTCCAGTTGCCTTCTCTTTTTCTCTCTGTCTACTCCATTTAATCTCCCGCGGCGTTCTCAGGGTTGAAATTGCCAGGCAAATTACAATTTTGTCTTGTTCAATATTCACAGCTTTTTTGCTGACGTTATTCATGTTGACCTTATCTTTTTATTGACCTTTTTTGTCCCTATTTTTTACTGGTGTTATATTTTTGTTGACCCATTTTGCATAAAACGTTTAAAAACGTTAAGAGAACTTTTTGAAACACATCTTTCAGTCATTTGGTTGGGACAAGGTACCTCAGAATTGGGTATCTTCCGTAATCAGGCGAAAACAAAGGTTACTAGACAGATGCAGCGCCCGCAAAACTGCTCCCTTCAACTATTTGGAGAAACCAAGATGGATTATAGTGGAGGACAAATATAAACTGATATTGTGCACTATGTTCAAAGCAGCAAGTCGTAACTGGAGAAATGTGTATCAGATTCTGTCTGGCCGTCAGGATGTTGTCTTCAAGGGCACAAAGAAATACTTTACACGGCTACATTCCTACGGCAGCAAGAACAACAGCATGCGCTTAGCAAATTATCTGAAGGTCTTAGTGGTGCGACACCCACTAGAGAGACTCGTGTCGGCCTACAAGGAACAAGTTTTGTTTAGGCATTTAGGTCCCAGAGTGAAAACTTATATGAACCAGCAATATGAGAGGAACATTACTTTGCAAAAACATATTTCCTTTTCGGATTTCCTGCAGTATATAGCAGACAACGGACCAAAGAATGCCCACTGGGCTTTGGTCGAGGATTTTTGCAAACCCTGTGACGTTCAGTATGACGTCATCGTTCATCATGAAGATCTTACGACCGACGCGCCTAATGTCATGCGTCTACTTGGCGCCGAACACTTGATAGCACAATTCCCGTCATCTCATCGCAAGATCGAGTCCTACCGCAACGAGACTCTCATACAAAAATATTACAGCGGGATAGGTAGAAAACTGTTTCAAAAAATCTGGGATATTTACAAAGAAGAGGCAAGCTTCCTCGGATATAAATTAGATCTTTGAGTGTTGTCGAATTACGGCATATATATATGCTGTATTTAGATTAGAATCATGATCGAAAGGCAACAATATTGCAGACATTGCATAAAAGTTAATGCGGGTGGTATCAGAATTTGAAATTTAAAACGGGCTACTATGAATTTGTACATTGAATCAAGCAATAAAAATATGGTAAACTCAGCTAGGTGTGTATTAAACATTCCGTGACGCTATGAAATAAAAAATATGTATTATATTATTGATTTTGTTTGCTTAAATCGTCCTACTTTCGAAAGCTGATATTACAAATGCGCCAAAAGTTAGGTGTCCTTGAGTGATGTCCTGCATGTTTATAACTAAAGCCTGGATTATATTTACACGGGCGCCGTGCGATGAAATTGTCCGTACGATTTTTTTTTAATCGTAAGGAGCTACGGGCTACGCCGAGTATGTCTACATTACATGGCCTTATATCAGTACGATTCTGTGCGATTTCGCACGGCCACCATCTACTTCCGCTCAGACGCCGTACGAAAACGGTATTACGCATTTCAAATGTAATCAAGGCTAAAGTGACTAAATAGACGATAGTGAATGCCAAACCTATGAAAATGCATCTATTCTGTCCTTACTTATCAGGTAAAGTAAATAAAAAGAGTGTTAATATGGCCGAATTTCATAATTTAAAGTAAGGAGTGACCGTTGGTTCCCTTGTGTGGGAGTTTATATTCGGGAGGAAGGTGCAAGTAGCAGGCTAAGGAAAGACAAAACTGTTTAGTTTGCTAATAACGAGTGGCTATTCTTTGTAAACAGGGTAGGGAGACGAAATCCATTCATTTTGTTCAAATATGAAATTTAACGAGCAGAGCAGACAAACTTTCAATTTTAAATTTTGGGGTGCTAGTCAAAAGTCTGGGACATTTTAAAGGCTTAAAACAACTTCATTAAGGTTTACCTAGGTTCGATTGTAATTTCTTCCACTTCCCAATTGCAAACAAATGTAACGAAACTGAGGGTCCGAGTAACAGAAAGTCCGTCCTCCACTTAGTTGTTTTGGTTAGGGTTAGCCTGGCAGAAGTGGATCAAAATCTAGGTGGAAGCTTACCTATACATAAGCGGACTATCTACCACGGGGGACTCTCTGACACGTTATACCGGCGTCACAATAGCCAGTTCGTTACACTAAGATGGGAGGGGGGGGGGGGCGATTTCATAAGATGGCAAAATCTGTCTTCTTTGTGCCCCGAATTCCTTGGCATTTGGTTTCAAGCACACATATAAAGTGCATCCCCAGAATCCGTGCACCAGGTAAGACGACCTTTAAACACGTCTCGATCATACTTTGATATTGAACTAAAACACATCTGGATATTTGTACATTAAACTAGGCAGCAGACGTATGGATTTACATTACATACAATAACATTATCAATCTGATATAACATAACCGCATAATATTTTAACAATTGATAATATTTTTATTTCTCTTAAATTTTGATCCATACTTTTCTTAATGTTCTAAAATCTACATATTTTGTATCCAATAGAAGCCGGTGTGATGAATATTCATGACAAACATCTGGCATGATGAATATTCATGACAAACATCTGGCATGATGAATATTCATGACAAACATCTGGCATAATAAATATTCATGACAAAAGTGGTGTGAACAATGGAGTGGGCTGCATTTTGTCCTCTCTGCTCTACCAGGAACACAGAGAAAGCTTTTCACTAGAGATTCACAGATATTTGTCTGGTGAACTCTGCGCACACTTCTGTTCAGCTGTAACAGGAATAGAAGTCCTCTGAGAACTGTACTCAGCTTCCAGTTTCTTTGTACAGGTGACATTTGTTCCATATACTAACCCCAATACTCCAACTAACCCTAACCTGTACTGATCATATGGGACCCTGGACTTCTATTCCTGTCACACTGCTACCACAGTGAACTCTGGGCGACCACAACACCAGGCAAAACTGATCAGTTGCTTCACAGGTGGAACAGACCCTAACTTTGAGGAAATCATATATATTTTAATGGGGAAAAAGTACTGGGTTATGTTCAGTATTATATATGGGAGATATTTACAAATGACCCTTAATGCTGTTGTTTATAAGACCTCATCATAAGATGGTGGATCTGACCCCACCCCCCCACCCCCCTAAAAAAGAAAGAAAAAAAATGCTACAATAATAAGCTGCGTGTATCAACTCTGAGGAACTACTTGTTAAACAACTGATCAACTCTGATTGGCCTAAAAGACCTGACACCCAAGACGAGCTCATTTCAAACAAATCATCATCTTGTAACAGACTTCCAATTTACACCAGAATAACCACTTTTCTGCAGCAACATGTCAATACTTTACTTAGATATAATGAAAACCAAGTAACAAATTTCCAATTAAACTATGTTTGCTAAAACATTATAAAAACACAACAACAACAAGAAACACAATTTGCTGTCAAAAACATATCACAACCTCGTTTTACAACAATTATTAAATGAATGAAATTGTTTCACGGTACCAACACCTGAAGACAAATTATCAAGTTGTGACTATTTAGTCATGGCAAATGCACCTTACTAGCAAAATCCCCTAAACTAATGAAAAACCACTACCACCAAAATATTAAAAAATACGGTACATGCAAATATTACAAGACTGGGTGAGCATTGACAATGCCAGGCAAAAACTACATATATATAAGTATTGTATAAAATTTTTCCGCATATCAACAAGCCCTCTATTAAGCCCAGTTCCGACTAAATGTAACATGATGTTTGCCTTACAGATCCTTTAAAGATTTGATTTAAAAAAAGAGAAGTACCTAAATCTTTAAATACAGTTTAAATTCCATTTTCTCAAGTAACAACATTGCCTATATTGCAAACAACTAGTTTTAAATTAGATTTTATGCTGCTCTTTTTGCACATATGATATACAATAAATATTACAAATATCAAAATATGGGAACAACTACATCAGTAAGTCTTCTGTATTTCCAGAACCTCTAAACAAATCGTGTGTAAATATGGAGAGGATAAAACATACCCAAACAAACAAACAAACAAAAAAAATAAAAATAAAAATAAAATTAAAAAAACAAAAAAAAACAAAAAACAAACTCAAAATGACCTTGCGATTTCATTGACAATTCTGATTTCATTGATAATTACAGATGTGACATTTAAAAAAGTGTGGAATTTCTGATCTAAATACACTGAGATATATTATTTATAACACAATTAACTATCTGCACACAGTACTAAAAATTAAAAAAATATAAAGTAATGTCCAGGTATATGAGACCCAATTTGAATTTAGCAACTACATTGGAACATTTATTTTGAAGGCAAATTTTGTTCCACAAGGTTTCTGTTTTACTATCGACCATAGCATACTCATCATGCCTTGTGCAGTATAAAATAAAGACTGGGCCTCCATGTTCCTATGCTAAGATAAAGGTTATAAAATTTAATGACATAAAAAATACGTGCAGGTAATAAGTACTGCGTGTCCTGTCCACCAAAAGACAAGGTGTTGCACATGTTCAAGTCTAACCACACCAGATATAACTATAAACTACGCTGTATTATCAAGCCATTAAGTAAATAGACGTGAGACGGATTTACCATGAGTGAGCATGCATTTTAACATTTAGCCTTCATGAGTTTGTTATGTGCTTAAATCACTTATAGATCTGCACAGCAAGCTACTAATGCTTTTAAGCATTATTATTAGGTTCACGATGAAATAATCATTAGGTTTATGACATAAATGAAAGCTTATCTTTAAAAGGTAACTGATCCATGATTTTTTCAAAGCTGCAATTAATGTTTCTCACAAAAGCAATATTAATAAAAAAAGCATATTTTTCTCTTCAATAGTAAAACTCATAATTTTAACTTATTGTCAGTAAGATCTTAACCCCAATTCCCAAGCTTCCTTTCATGGTTATATAGCAATATTACACCACAATTGTTAAGATCAGTCCATATACTTAATAGTGCCAAGCAATCTCAAGCTGACATTGTACATACACCTTTTATAACTATGTGTAACTGCTCTGCAATATTTCCACTGCCCAACTCTAGGAAGACTTTTTAGTCCACAACGGAGAGTCAATTTTAGGATGCCAACTGCTGTGAGACCTCCCTGATGTGATAAACGCTGTGGTCCAGTACTATTAAGTACTGCTGATCACATTACAGTTTCACTGTTCGGGAGATTTAAGAAGCAAAGCAATTATCTTTCCTGGGACAAATGAAGACATTTCAGGATAGTTGGAGTAATGATTTTTTAGTGATCTTTGTTCCACATATTTTGAGACCACTTCCAGTGATCAAAATAGTTTTTTAATGATTTGGTGTTCTCTCTCTCGACGTGTGTGTGTGTGTGTGTGTGTGTGTGTGTGTGAGCAAATGAACAGGCCAATACTATTTCATGCAATGAACGTCAACATTTTCATCCCACTGTGACAGTTAATATCTCACCAATTCCAATGACACCAAATCCCAAGACACCTTTTTAATAACATCTTTTTAATAACATCTAACTGCCACAGAAAGACCATCATCACATTCTGCAGACTAGGTCACTTGGTTCAGTATTAACCATGTGATCAGCTGAGCATACTGGATGTACAAAACAGTCATCAATCAGTACAGGTATACAATATTCAAAATAAACCTCCTCTCAATGACACTAAATATCATTCAAAGCTGTTATTTGGACTAGCATCACACTGGTATAATTACAATTCATCAGGTGATTCTCTCTTACACAAAACCCTTCCACCTTGTTAATTGCCATCATTTCTGACTGTTAGCTGTAACAGATTAAACATGATATGGTCATAACAGGACAAATTGCTACCAGCCAACCTGAGCCCAGCAGTGACTAGTTGACGTGGACCTGTGTTAATTATATGTGACCTGTTCCTGAGTAAGGAATGATAAAAAGATCTCCCTCAAATCATCACCAATCAGTCTTGTCTCTTCTCTCTCTCATTTTCAGTTTTCTGGACTGATCTCAGTTTCATTATCAGCGTGTCATCCCCCCTTTCTCCGCTATATCACGGTGCCTTGATGAGTTTATAAGTGGTTGGGATCAATGATCTATACGGGCCCTCAGATCCCACCAGGAGTACCGGCTTCCCCTTATTGCTGAACCTAAGGAAGACAGAATTATTTTCAACATGAGCATATCTTATTTTTTTCTTCATGAGTCTACTACCTGATCTGTTTCAATGAACATGTATGTCTTAAATTCTTTTAGTTGCATTAACCACATTTGAAAATGTCCTCAAAGTCATATTTTTTATGGTTTCATATCCTGCAAAAACTGATTATCTTTCCTAATTCGGAGCTTTAAAATGTACCACTCAAATAAAAGTATGTGATGCCACTATTTCCCTCTGAAATTTACAAGAAGGCATGTCAGTCTAAGTGACTGGCCTGTCATTTAGAACTAAATTAATTATTAGAAATTATATACATCAATACGTAAGATCAGGGAAGGGTCTAGTCATGACCAGTGTAGGAGAAAATTGTTTTTTTTTCAAGAAAAAATTTGATTTGTTGGGTAAATTCTGGAAAAGAAACCTTCAAATACTGCAGTATGAGATGAAACTGTCAATTTAGGAATAACAGAGTACACTTAAGTTTTAGATTATTTATTAATTACTGAAACCACAGATTTTACTACTTATATGAAAAGCCCAACCCCATCTAAAATTCAGAGATGGTAAAAGTAAAGTGCTTTTAAGGAAAAACAATTTCTCAAATTGCTTTTTAATGGATCAATAAGTGTTACAAAGTGTCCACAATTCAGTATAAATGAAGATACCCACACACCCTATTAACTTTACCTTAAGTGAGTCTTAAACTAGTCACAATGGTCATTGATCTATTTAGTGGTTTTCTTATCTCCATATTCCCAGCACTCATTTTGCCTGCAGTTTTAACATTGGCCAACAATAATAATCTAAATTTCACTGAGCACCTAGGACTGGAATCAAAATGGATTTTTGGAATGCTATCAAATGGAGTAAATACAGGAAAATATGAGCAACTTTGAAGAAGACACTTGGTTTATCTACTCAGAATTTTAGACATTATGTCCTGTTACCATTCCAGTGATTCTGGAGTGCAACAGAAGTCCTCCTGTGTGACTAAATTCTCTCTCCCCCCCTCTCTTTCTCTCTCTCTCTCACAGGGGACTGTGACCTCCCCTGTGACCTTCACTCTTAGTCAATGTTACTTCATATTCCACTCCATGGTGACTCACCTCAACACCCCCTTGTGTAGACCCCTGGGGCTTGCCTTGGGGTACCAGAACAGGTGAAAACACTTGGCCAGCACCTGCAGTGTTTGGTAGTCTGTAGCACTGCTCTGGTGGTAGACCAGTACATAGCTACCCCTGGAGTGATAATATAGATATCATATACTAATGGGGAGGGGGGTGTCGTAATAAAATGGATTCATATACTAATGGGTAGGGGGGTGTCGTAATAAAATGGACGGCTTTTTCTGAAAAGAAAAGTGGATAAGATGCATTTATAGAATTTTGATTAAGTCCTTATTAAGAGAGGGACTTTGTGGAGCCAAAAATGTGCTTCCTGACTCCCTCCCCTGTTTACAGGCCTGACCATGAATTTCACTNCTGAGCCCAGCAGTGACTAGTTGACGTGGACCTGTGTTAATTATATGTGACCTGTTCCTGAGTAAGGAATGATAAAAAGATCTCCCTCAAATCATCACCAATCAGTCTTGTCTCTTCTCTCTCTCATTTTCAGTTTTCTGGACTGATCTCAGTTTCATTATCAGCGTGTCATCCCCCCTTTCTCCGCTATATCACGGTGCCTTGATGAGTTTATAAGTGGTTGGGATCAATGATCTATACGGGCCCTCAGATCCCACCAGGAGTACCGGCTTCCCCTTATTGCTGAACCTAAGGAAGACAGAATTATTTTCAACATGAGCATATCTTATTTTTTTCTTCATGAGTCTACTACCTGATCTGTTTCAATGAACATGTATGTCTTAAATTCTTTTAGTTGCATTAACCACATTTGAAAATGTCCTCAAAGTCATATTTTTTATGGTTTCATATCCTGCAAAAACTGATTATCTTTCCTAATTCGGAGCTTTAAAATGTACCACTCAAATAAAAGTATGTGATGCCACTATTTCCCTCTGAAATTTACAAGAAGGCATGTCAGTCTAAGTGACTGGCCTGTCATTTAGAACTAAATTAATTATTAGAAATTATATACATCAATACGTAAGATCAGGGAAGGGTCTAGTCATGACCAGTGTAGGAGAAAATTGTTTTTTTTTCAAGAAAAAATTTGATTTGTTGGGTAAATTCTGGAAAAGAAACCTTCAAATACTGCAGTATGAGATGAAACTGTCAATTTAGGAATAACAGAGTACACTTAAGTTTTAGATTATTTATTAATTACTGAAACCACAGATTTTACTACTTATATGAAAAGCCCAACCCCATCTAAAATTCAGAGATGGTAAAAGTAAAGTGCTTTTAAGGAAAAACAATTTCTCAAATTGCTTTTTAATGGATCAATAAGTGTTACAAAGTGTCCACAATTCAGTATAAATGAAGATACCCACACACCCTATTAACTTTACCTTAAGTGAGTCTTAAACTAGTCACAATGGTCATTGATCTATTTAGTGGTTTTCTTATCTCCATATTCCCAGCACTCATTTTGCCTGCAGTTTTAACATTGGCTAACAATAATAATCTAAATTTCACTGAGCACCTAGGACTGGAATCAAAATGGATTTTTGGAATGCTATCAAATGGAGTAAATACAGGAAAATATGAGCAACTTTGAAGAAGACACTTGGTTTATCTACTCAGAATTTTAGACATTATGTCCTGTTACCATTCCAGTGATTCTGGAGTGCAACAGAAGTCCTCCTGTGTGACTAAATTCTCTCTCCCCCCCCTCTCTTTCTCTCTCTCTCTCACAGGGGACTGTGACCTCCCCTGTGACCTTCACTCTTAGTCAATGTTACTTCATATTCCACTCCATGGTGACTCACCTCAACACCCCCTTGTGTAGACCCCTGGGGCTTGCCTTGGGGTACCAGAACAGGTGAAAACACTTGGCCAGCACCTGCAGTGTTTGGTAGTCTGTAGCACTGCTCTGGTGGTAGACCAGTACATAGCTACCCCTGGAGTGATAATATAGATATCATATACTAATGGGGAGGGGGGTGTCGTAATAAAATGGATTCATATACTAATGGGTAGGGGGGTGTCGTAATAAAATGGACGGCTTTTTCTGAAAAGAAAAGTGGATAAGATGCATTTATAGAATTTTGATTAAGTCCTTATTAAGAGAGGGACTTTGTGGAGCCAAAAATGTGCTTCCTGACTCCCTCCCCTGTTTACAGGCCTGACCATGAATTTCACTTTAGTTTGCTAAAATCATTAAATATGACCATCATGTCAACCATTACCAGTCACTTACTTTGAGGTATCAGGTAACTTGACAGAATCTGACTTGGCATTCAGGCAGTCTGTCACAGTGCTGCCCTCTACAAACTCAGCTGTCTTGATAAGATTTTGTAACAACTGCTCGTATTGGTCCTTTGTAAGTGCTTCGTGACCTTTGACCTTGACATTAGCATCTCTAAAAGAAAGAATGGGGACAAAATAGTAAATATTTTACAAAAATGTTGTTCTGAAATGGATACTTCAAATAACCAAGAGAAAAACTGTGTACTTGCACAAGCATATAATTACAAACCATAAAAACACAGTGGAGTACTTACAAGTTAGTGAGTCTAGGTTTATTAAATAGAGCTTGCATAAGTTCTGCATCTTCTGCTGACCCTTCATATTGCTGCCTGAACACCCTGGACACCTCTGGAACCAACATCTCACTGTCTCCCCACAGCTGTGCCAGCCAGCCATGCCACGTACTGCAGGAATAATAATAATAATAATAATAATAATAATAATAATAATAAATATTAGCATCTCACTGTCTCCCCATAGCTGTGCCAGCCAGCCATGCCGCGTACTGCAGGAATAATAATAACAATAATAATAATAATAATAATCTAGCCTAAATTTAATTATGATTTTTATCTAGTCTAAAACTTTTTAATATGTTTAATAGACTTCACAATGTAACATACAAGTTAAAGAAAATCACAGTTGTAAAAATAAATGTCTTAAGCGTTATTGTTTAGTTATTGAGAAAATGGATGTAAAAGACACTACTAACACATCACTTCCATTCACACACATGCACCCTCACACACACACACACACACACACACACACACTTACCCCTTGATACAACAGTCCTTCATCTTCCCCTTCATGTGTGTCTGATAGAAGGACTTCCTGATCAGAGAACCTCGTCCTGGAAATGTCTCCTCTCTCATCACAGTCTGAGCATCTCCCCCTACTTCTTTAAATCCTGATATATAGAATATAGTGAACTCAAGGTTACAACTTATATATATATATATATATATGTATAGAATAGCCATAGTTACTGTCATTACAATCATTATTATTATTATTATTATTACTATCATTGTTATCATTATTATTATAAACCTCTGTATATTAGGGACCATTCCCAGACCCTATCGTACTAACTGAGGATCGATCGATCTATCTCCAAGGGGGTTCTTGCTAAACTGCGATCAACTTAAGCGGCTTAAATGTCTGGCGTGCCCAATGAAGCTGCTAGGGGGTAATTAACCATCGTTTAGAAGCTTCAGTAGGGGTGCCAGACATCTAAACCGCTTAAGCTGAAAGCAATTTCGCCAGAAACCTCTAGGAGATGGATCAATCCTGTTAGATGGATCTAGGTATGGGAACCCAGTCTTACCGTTATCATTCCAGGCTGACACTCCAGATAAACTTTGATCTTTTTCCAACACGGGGAGTAGTTGAGCCATGAAACTCAAAAAATCTGCTGAGAGCAGCAAGTCTTCTTCTAGGAGAATGATATATTTCTGAAATCAAACATAGTTTAATGCTATAGGATATGGTCAAAATCTCTCTCAAAAAATGAATTTAAAAGGTTTTAAGAAACTTAGTTCAGAGCATCATATTTAATACTCTGAAATACAATTAGGTGAACTTTTCCATTGTTCTAACTTGAAAAACAAAACTAGTCATTTAATAAAAAAAATCACTTGTATGAAAATGAAGAGCTGAAAAAAGCAAGTTTTCAAATTATAATTCCAGATTAAGTGGACTGATAACATTTGTGACCCCCCCCTCGAGTACTTACATTTACATCATACAGACCCTCCTGTCTCTCTAAGGCCTTCCCTATTTGCTCTGAAAGAAATTAGAGCAAGTAATGGTCACAAAGTATCAAATAAACCCACATTCATATCTTGTATCTGTGTTTTGAGGTCAAATGGTAAATTTGCATACTTGTATTTCTGGACCAAGAAGTGCATGCCTTACTGCAGGTGTGTGCATGCTTGTGCATGTGTTTGTTAATCTGTGTTATCTTGTGCGTGTGTTCAAATATGTGTATGTGTATAAGATCCTCTCAGAACACTCCATACCTGCATACTTTGTGCTACTGGACAGTCTTTGTACTTTGAACCCATACAATGCCCCCAGGGCTTCTTGCTCTGGGAATTTCTCATCACACATCACCTGTGGAAGAAAATTGGTAAAATACTGAAAAACACCCACAGAACAAAGATCAATGCCAAGACAACTCAATGCTTTGTTTTAAATTTCTGATTAATGAATGTATCACCAAATAAATAAAATGACAAATTATTAAATATATTTAAAAATAAAATGAAATAATTCATTTAGCCCATTTCTGACCTATCGTGAAAAATTCATCAAAATCTATCCGTTACTTTTTGACTTTGGCTATTTATAAACAAATCAACAAAGGCAAAACCCTGACAACCTTGGGGGGAAGGGGAGGGGTCAAACTACTCACCACCACATACTGGGGGTTGAGCCCAGGCTGCATTAAGACAGTGTCCAGCAGTTTTCTCAGGGAAACTGGACTCAGTCCTAAAACATAACACAGTCAATAATAATATTATAACAGGACAGTGTCCAGCAGTTTTTCTCAGAGAAACTGGACTTAGTCCTGAAAAATAACACAGTCAATAATAATATTATAACAGGACAGTGTCCAGCAGCTTTCTCAGGGAAACTGGACTCAGTCCTGAAAAATAACACAGTCAATAATAATATTATAACAGGACAGTGTCCAGCAGTTTTCTCAGGGAAACTGGACTCAGTCCTGAAACATAACATGGCCAATTTTAATATTATACAATTACTAACTACAATTACAATTGACACTGGGTTGATATTGATTGATATCAGATAGGCAAATTGGACAGGTTTGGCCTGATGGCCTAGTGGGTCAAGAGCCCACCTATGGAAAGGGAAACCAAGGGTTTGAATCCCAGCCATGAGTCCTTAAAAATATATATTTATCTACCTCCTGATTCCCAGCCAATACTGATGAGTTGGCATTTGAGGTACATTTGGTCTGATATTGACAAACACAAGTCCGCTTTCGACCATCAGTGAGCATGTTACAAAACATGATGATATATGATATGAAAAGATGTAATACAATATAATGTTAAAGACAAATTACTATACAATGGTTCGGAAATATTTCATTACTTTCAACAATCTGAACTCAGTGCCAAAAACAACAACTTACCTGGTACTATAACAATTGGCACTTTAAATATTGCACTTCCTTCCAACGCCTTATCTGACAGGGGTGCTGGCGTGAGAGCTTCATCCAAGCGATTGCCTGAAATCCACAGAGCACACATACATATTTGCATGGTCAAAATGCAGGAGACCACAAATTCCCAACAATACATACACAGGTCACAGCAACTTGAGGAGAGGAGACATAGTCAAGGCATTTACTTTTATACTAGTTCATTTTCATGATAACACCATGCACACAGCGCAGAAGAAAATGACAAGAGGGCATCCATCTATCCATCACTTAGTGACAGTACCTTCAATACCCTGGATCAAAGTGGTGATTCACTGATATTACAACTCAGCAAAAATTAACACATATATTATAAATAAATAAATACTTCCCAGCAGAATTCAGTTTTCACCTACCTTCACAGAAATCCCCGTAGCCTTCATATTTCTTGCAAAATTCCCTGCGCTTATCATTCCTTCTGGCCACTGGGTCGATTTTGATGGTCTTGCCCTCCACTGCAAGAGTACGGAGAAATGAGATGAGATTTTAATATGACTGTGTGTTAAGTGTGACAGTGTGTAAGATGTAACATTGTGTTAGGTGTGACAGTGTGTTAGGTGTGACAGTGTGTTAGGTGTGACAGTGTGTTCATTGTGAGAATGTGTTTGGTGTGGCATTGCTCCAGCCACATAAACTGTGACATAGTATCAGGTGTGACAGTGTGTTAGATGTGACAGAGAGCCAGATGTCAGTGTCATGGTTGACAACATGCTAGATGTGACATTGCGACAGCCGTGATATTACCCAAGTTATGACACTGTTACAATAACACCCAGATTTGACATTCTGTTGGAAGCGATTATCTGAGTTGCAATACTGTTACTGCAAAACCAAGTTTTGCCATTGCATTAGATGTCACTGATATTGTGTTGGTTACATGATGTTGGTGTGACGATTCCTATGCAATAAAAACACTCACATTTTTTGGGTATACACAGTTTCTTTTCAATGGGTGTTGGCCACTCACTGGGCGGGGTCACATAGCTCACCTAGAACCAGAGAGGAACCTTGTTATCATATCACATAACACAGTACAACTCAAAGGAAGGAAGCATTATCAAAATGTGTTTTGGTGCCTGTTTAACATAAAAGCAAGATTACTGAGCATCCCCCGTCTTGATACTTGAATTATTTTAAATCCATTTATCCTTTTTCTGATTGTCAGTAATACTAGTAGTAAAATGCTCAAATCTCTTTGATGCTACTTTGACATTTAGTAATCAATTACTATATTTGTTTAAAATGGTTTGCTATGCAACATATTGGTGAATGTGAATGAAGCAAAGTGGCACAAATTACAATGCATTCAACATCTCATTCTTTAACTAGTGTAGTGATCGTGAACATAATTTGTAACGCTCCAAAAAACATAAACACACTAAGAAATCAAACTCAAAAGTCAACTCTCCGCGCAAAACCAAAAAACCAGATGTATCCACCTGACAGCCAAAACCAAATGATGGAAGCATTCTCAAAAACTCATTCAAAAGTACATTCACCCAAATATGCCATTCCCAAGCAAAAATAAATAAATAAATAAATAAATAAAAATACACACCATTTTCCCTTTCCCATGAGCAAGCTGCACAGTTAGAAAAGATCTTGATAAACATTCACAAAGTACAAAACCTTCCTTCATCTCTCAAGTGAACTCGATTGCACATCACCAGTCAGTAACAAAAAGTGCCCCAATCCAGTCATAACCAGACATACCTGTGACCATGCTTCACAAACCAATGTGACAAGTGAAAAGTGACACTGCAAGTAAATTCGCGAACACAATCGTACCCACCCTAAGCATGCCATCGACTGGAAGCTGAACAAAGTTAGTAACATTTACACCAAGCTTAAGGGGAAAAATAAAAGGAGACCCACCCAAGACCTGTCCAAAAGACTTTTGTTAAATTCATAATATTTACTTCACTTCTGCCACAACAGTATTACTTTACATAATAGTTTAATTTGGTTTTCTTTTGGATACTTTCTGAAAAGGCCAAAGTGAGTGACTGGCATTCCTCTACTTCAAGTGGTGACATCTATAGTTTTAAACCACTGAATTGTGGGAAGGCAAACCAATGAACATGTGTCACACAGTGGCGGAGATAACTGATAAAAGACATGCATGGTAACATTAAATAACAGTGATATAATATTGAAATCATTTCATCAGACACATTTGTTAGAAAAAGGAGGAAGAAATGGCTCTGTGGCTGTGAGTTTGAAGGCGGTCTGAGGCTAACAAGACACCAAACAGAAAAACTTTCTGAATTAAAATAAAAGACATGCCTGTATCATAACAAAAATCCTGCTGTACTATGTATCTAATCTGTAGAATTTCGTCAAAGTCTTCAGCTCGGCATTAGCCCACCTCAGTTCATTGATCAGAGACACCTATTTAGAGGTGGACTTTACTAGACTGAAGACTATCTCATCCCCATTCATAGTCTCATGCCTAAAATATATACTGTGTAAAAGCCAGACCAGACACATTTCATGCAGAAACATAAAAAGCAGGGTAAGGCATGCCATGCCTCTATTGTAACAAATGTCCTCCACTGAACAAACACTGCTACTAATGCAAGGAAAATACCAACACCATGAAAGTACAACTGGATAATATTATATATATCTCTTGTTAATTATAGCTACACAGTAGAGAAAATAATGTACAGAAACTAGTTGGTAATGGGTTCACACTAGCCTGCTAGTCAAGGTACTCTCTGGTCCTTTGCACATTGCATGGTATACTTTATTGATACAAATGTACTGGTCTACTTAGAGGATCAACAAATAAACAGTATGGCTTCCTTGTCACATAGTCATCTTAATGGACCCCCCTCCCCCCCCCCCCCCCCACACACACACACACACACTCATTATGGCAAATTAATTTTAATATAATTCAGTTCACTGAAATGAAGCCCCTGTAATTGACACAGACACACAGCTAATTAACAGAAGGAAGCTTAATTGTGAAAAACTTGTAGAAGGGAGTAAACTGTGAAAGCAAGTAATTAAATTAGGTCCTGCCACAGTGTGTCTGTACAGTAGTCTTCTTAAAGTATACCATTCAATGTGAAAAGGGGCCTTAAAATCAAGTCTGTCTGCCGTGACAGGACAAACATTGCTGAAGTCAAAATGTCCAAATTTTAAGGGTATTGAAAAGAACATTTAAATTATTACCCACTAACACCTTTCTAGCCTAAACAATTATTGAGCTACGTCAGTAACACCATGCAAGTCACCTGTTCAAATTCACTGTATCCCACAATGCCTTTCTGGCCCACAAACACCCATAGATCGCGCAGCTTAAGGTTTTGTATGTGGCCACTGCCGACCTCATTGAATAAACTTTTGGCATGGTCGGAGAGCCTGTAGGCAGGAAAGTGAGCAAAATAGAACAGATTTTTTGTTAAAATAGATGAAACTACAATCACATAGTTGGCAAAGTAAAAAGTTGGTTTTCATGAATAAAAACCATGACAGACATCAGGCCAGTCTGCCAGTAGATAGTTACAACATATAAAACTGGTGACAGAACAAAGAAAGATGTAAAAGCAAGAGGTGCACACAATGGACATACACTGGATGTGGATACGGATATTCAAAGCTTTTATGTTCTTTCCTCCCCTCCCAAGTAGATAAACACCAAGACAGGAGAGTATTACCTCCATTCATGTTTGTATTTCTAAATATTTTACTGGCTTAATAATCTGATCATCATTGCCAAAAATTTGAACTCCTGCCCCCCATAAAAAATAAAATAAAATAAATAGATTCAAGCCTTTGTCCATAACCCTGATAAAATCTGATTTTTTTGTCCCAAAAATGGAGAGTAAACAGTGATTTCTGATATAAGTTATTGAAGACTGAAATTTACAAAACAATTTCATCACAAGCCACTAAACAAGACAGCTAAGAAATGTCGGTGCACCTAAAGTAGTATAGATTAATACTCAATCTACAGGGGTTATTCTTCAAGGAGTGTTTTTATACCCAAGCAGTTGATTACAATATCCTAGGCCCCTTTAGTAAGTTATACCAAATGTTAACTGAAAAGCAAGAACTAATTTGTAAAAAAAAAATTATTTCATTGTGAATGACACTTGAAGAAAACACTTTTAACTGGACATTTCACAAAAAACTGAGAAGCGCAGAGGGTCACAAAGTTGCAAATAAAACTAATATTTGTTCTGAAATATTCAGTAACCGAAGTTTGTGTTAGTAGTGACAACAGCCCCCAACTGTATACAGATCAATAATATTCTATCTCAAGGCCACTAACAGCTATTAAGAAATCTATATGAAATGCAGCACTTTCTGAACATCAACTTCATACAGAGTGCATAAACTTCTATCAAAACTCGCAGGTCTCAATTTTAAACTCTCAACTATTGAATCATCAAGCATTCACTCATTTCAATACCTTTTACAATCTGTTTTAGCAAATCAAATCTTACAAAAGACCCCCCCCCCTCCCATGCCCAATAAGGCCTTCTATTCATCTCCACATAACATCAATCATGTCATAATTTACAGTCACTGGCATTGCTCACTTTTGGTGATGTCTCTTTTATTAATGATATTCTACACTTCTCTCTCTCTCTCTCTCTCACTCACACACACACACACACACACACACACACACACACACACACACACACACACACACACACACACACACACACACACACACACACACACACACACACAACACACACACACACCTTGTAGAAACATGCAAACACACATATATCCAATCCCAAACGGAAACAAACATTTCTCAAACAGCTCAAAACACCCCTCTTCTCACAATTTAGATTATACTTCCAAACAAACTCACAAACAAGCATAAAACCTTCAGACAAAGAAGACAAAGGACACCTCAATTCACACAGAGAGAAGCACACCACTGCACCATCACTTATCAAAGCACCTGTTCATGTTCAGACTTGCCCCCTGAGATGCTTTTTTGCCCTATAAAGAAATAAGCATCACGAAGACCCAGTGTGTCAACTAAGCTGCTGCCCATTTCTTGGAGTATCTTCTTGGCTAGCAACTTCAAACTAAACCATGGGGAGAAAAAAAATAATAAACAAATAAATAAACTGATAAGATGTTGGAGTTCAACCTAATGTCACCTGCACAAATTGCTAAAACTGTTTATTGAGGATAATTTCTAGAAGATATATAGTGAAAAATAAGATAATTTGACTGGAATGTTTAACTATTAAATAATGAAAAGCCATAAATAAACCTTGTAAGGGGTCTGCTTTAATTTATTTAATTTTAACATGATTAAAAGACAGCCTGTCACTGGCTGGTCTAGAAATTTACTGTTTGTGGGGAAGAGATGAAATTGTGCGGGTTTATATAAAATAAATAAATAAATAATAGTAATTAAAATCTGCAAATGAAAATAAATTGTGTGTGTGTGTGTGTGTGTGTGTGTGTGTGTGTGTGTGTGTGTGTGTGCAAGTATGTGTGAACATGGAGCTTTTGAAGAAAAATAATATACCACACATCAATAGGGGAGATGGAGGAGGAGGAGGAGGAGG